CAGTGGAGTCAGGGCTGAGGGCCTAGGCCCATGGCTGTGGGGCTGAGGGGGCAGAGGTCAGGGTCACAGGGCTCACCTGTCAGCATGTACTGATAGGCATTGTCAGAGATGGAGAAGATGTGGGGCGGTGCCTCGCTCCTCTTCTTGCCCCGGTAGGCAGCCACCACCTCAGCGTTGTATACCGGCAGCCACTTGTAGGGATTGACGGTGACACAGAAGAGGCCTGAATAGGTCTGGAGCAGGAGATAGGCAGGCATGAGAGGCTGGAAGGGAGAACCCGGGATGGGCAGTGGTGACAGGCAGGAGAGTCCCTAGTCACCCCAGCTGGCTCTTCTCTTCTTGCAGCTGACCAAGGGTTAGGAAGGGGGGGTGTCTCTTGGGAGAGTTTTGACCTTCTCGTCTTCAGAATGTTGCCCTGGCCTACTTAGGTTTTGGTCCAGGACGGGCTCTCTGCCATGTGCAGAATGCACTCACGTAAATCATCCAGGCTGCATAGCGCTCCTTGAGGTTGAAGAGCACAGCGGGCTCGTGCAGGAAGGTCAGCATGGCCATGTCCTCGATCTTGTCGAACTTGGGTGGGTTCTGCTGCAACACCTGGTCCTCCTTCACGGTCACTGTCTAGGGAGGGACATGGGCAGTAGGACAGGATGAGTATGCCTTCCAGTCTGTGGTCACCAGCCTTGCCCACTTACCTCCTCCCAGAGCGCAGGCCACTACCTGGCCTTGCTCCCCCAGCTCTTCTCTGACCAGTACCCAGGTCCTACTTCAGAGCTTCCTAGAAAATTTGCCCACCCACTATCTCTCCCACTCTAAGGATAGTCCTAGAGTCCCTGCATCTTGTTAATACCCTAGATCCTGTGCCCCTGAGTATTGCTTTTCAGTCCCTGCTTCAAGTGTCTAGGGGCAAACTTGGAGGACTACCAGCTCTGCCATCTGTGCACATAACCTTACCATGACCCCTAGGGGCCGTGCTCGAGGCAAGACTTCACCTCTACTGGAAAAATGTCTCACACATCTACTCTGTTTCCCCAAAGGCCACTGTCACTGGTTGGATTGGCACGGGTCAGTTTTCCATGCCCTGGCATCATTAGATCCTGTGGGCAGGTATTCCAGCATTTGCTACAGTGGAGGACACTGTGTCTTAGATGAAATGATTTCCTGGCATAGTGGCTAGTTCAAGGCAGAGGTAGAAGAGTCAGAACCCACAGTGGGCTGTGGCCACAATTCCTACCTCCATGGGATGCAACATTCAGTAAGTGTGTCTGTGAGGCATATGACTCTGAGCTGTTGCTGGTGACCAGTGCCAATTCTCACAGCTGGTATGAGAGACCAGGGACTGGGGGCTTCTGAGAGCAAATCATTAGCCCCAAAACTGAGCATTCAGCTTAAGAGTTCCTGCTCTTTGTGTTCATCTGAGTCTATGAGTTTACTCTCGGTTTGGGTGAGGAGAATTAGGGGGAGCTTGTTTGTGGAGGAACTGAGTCACAGAGAAACTGGATACAAATCGGAGAAGGAAACTTTCATGGTATGTTGTGACAATGCCCTCTGTCAACAAGATCCCTCTGAGGAGGAAACCAGCTGAGGTTTCCAGCATCCTCTCTGGCAAGAAAGGGGTGTGCAATGTTGGGATGGTGACCTGTCACACCTGCGCATGTCCACCTGAGAAGGTCAGAGTTCTCACTCAGATACAGGGCTCCTCAAGGGAGCATGTCCTGCCACCCTGCTGGCTTTGGCTCTTCTCCAGGATCCTTCAGCTCCCACTGAAAGTGGCCCCACCCTGCATCTCCCCAGAAACTTTTCTTCTCCTTCCCTTGGCCCTGTGCTTCACACACCTTGCCGTTCTCGGTGTCTGCAGTGACCTTGCCCCCTTCTCGGGATGTAATCTTGGCCTTGACATACTCCTCCTTGTCATCAGGCACAAAGCACTCAGTGCGGATGTCGAAAGGCCGTGTCTGGGCCTCCAGACGCTCCTTCTCTGACTTGCGGAGGTACTGGGCCGCCTCCCCGAAATCGGCCATCTGGGCATCGTCACTCATCTTGCTGCTCCTCTATGGCTGAGATAGGAGGTCCCAGGCCTTAGTAGGTGGCACTGCTCTCTGTACCCCACTCCCTGCCCCACCCTCTCACCGCCTGGGTCCTGTCGCTCTTCCAGCCCCTCCCTTGAGAGCCCCTCAGTCCAGTCCTCCTTGCTCAAGTTCTGTTCCCTTGCCCTCTCAAGTGGCACTGAAGAAGAATCTCTGTGAGGGGTTTGCAGGGGGTGGAACTGGCTGCAGTCTGCTAAGGAAGGGTCCTGAGCTGCTCCGAGGACAGACAGTGAGCCCCTGTTCTAGCAACCTGGTTTCCGGGAGAAAACTGAGTGGTTCTCACCTGGTTACCACTTCACAAAGAATTCTGGAGTCTGGACCATGGGTGGAGCCACAGAGGCGCAGGCAGACAGAGAGAAGAGACAGAGGATGAGGAACCATGGCAGCGGCCCGCCGGGGAGAAGTGAGCAATCGGTGTGGAATCAGAGTGGAGAACAGAGAGAAGCAAGGAGATTAGAACACACAACCAGGAAGGAAGAGCAAGGGGGACAGACGAAGAAGTACTGATGGGTATTGACAAAGATGAAGAAGTGAAATAAAACCAAACAAAGAGAGGAAAGCCATTAGAGGAGGGACAATGATGGAGACAGTTGGGGGGAGGACACAGAAAGCAGGAGACGACAGTTGCAGGAAAGAAAGGCAGATGGGAGAGGAAAAGGTTTCTGATTTTTCCATTGAAACCTCCTCTCTGTCAGTGGGAACTTCCCAGGGCTGGAGAAAGGCAGTTCTAGCAGCACCCTGGGGCCTCCAGTCGACTTGGCCCCACTCTCCCGTGAAGACAGAGTCTCTCAAGGTAGGAGCTCTAGGAATGGGCCACAGAGCCCCCACCCAACCCCACCTCTTACCTGGTTCAAAGGAGCATCTGTCTGTCCTTGCAGCCTGCTCCTTTTATATCCTGCTGCCCCCACCCCCTGCCTAATTTGGAGTCCTTCCGGAGGGACCCTCCCTCCCACCTCTCTCCTCTTCTAGCTCCTCCTCCCTTGATCCTTTGGCTCTGGAGGTGAGAGAAGGACAACTGGGCTTCCAGATTTGCCCATGAAAGGTCTGTTGCCCTAGCCCCTCTGGTTCCAGGACCTTTTTTTAGTCCTTGTGCACATTCCTCCCCTCCACAGGGCTGATGGGCAGATAGTGGGAAGAGAGCACCTTCTCACACCACCTCCCCCTCCCTTACTTTGGTTATTTTTAACCTGAAGGGTGAGTTGAGCACACTGGGTGAGGGTCACCTTCTCCTGCAGGCCAGATGATTGTCCCCTGCCCTCCAACCACAGGCTCCCCCCATCTTTTTCACCCTCTCCTTTTCACTCTGGCTTGTCCTCACACAGCGCCAGGCTGGGAGCATCTCCCACTCTCCCACCTGGAGTCCTACAGTGCTAGGGACTAGGAGCTGAAGCCATGATGCCCAGGGAAAGGGTCTGCTGATCAGCTCCATGATGTCTGTGCCGCTGTCTCTCAGCACAAAGGTTGTGTCTTGTTACCTTCTGTTCCCCAAATTTTCATGCAGGTGTCCTCTTGGGGACTTGAGGCTGTGCTGCCTTGGGGACATATCTGGAGCCCCCAGGCCCTCCCTTCATGCTTCTGATACATTGCCCACCATCCAACCTCTCAAACAGGGGAAAGGGCGTTCCCTTATGCTACCATAGAAGATCTGTACTCAGACCGACAGTCCAGGACCCTTACATACAAACTTGACCACCACACGTCCACACCCATGCTTAGCCACACACATGTAGAATTTTCACACTTATAAACTTAATCTTGCAAATTATCCTCCTTGCTGTTATGTACACTGACACACACATTTGCACACATACACTCCCTGCCTCAACTGACACCCTTTGCTCCTGGTGGGGGTGCAGCGAGGAGACATTAATCTCTGGGGCCTGAGGGAAGAGTGGTGGGGGGCTGCTCCCTTCCGCCTCTCTGGACTGCCAGAGAGTGCAGGTGCTGCTGAGGCTGGCTGGGGCCTGGCAGGCCTGGAGATTTACAACAGTTGGGCCTTTTGCTCTTTGTTGCCTGGGGTGGGGGTGGGGGTGGAGCTCTGTAGTCTGCCACCCCTTCCCAGGTAGAACTCTGGTGCCCCTTCCAACCTAATGGGGCTCATATTCACATGCCCTTCTTCATGGTGTCCCCAAGTGCCCCAGGCCCTCAAGGTCTCCCTCCCCAGCCTCCACTAATGCCACCTCTCAAAAGCAGTAGGTGTCAGGTCTTCAGCAGCCGTGACTGTTATGACTAAGTGGACATTGTGTTCAGGAAACAAAGCCAGACTCCCCTGCTCTGGCTTTCCCCTACACCCTCACACCCAAGAATACTCTCCCAGCTCCCCCGCCCCCCCTCCACTCCATCTACTCTCACCTCTCAATATAGCTCTAGAGTGTGGAGGTGGGTAGGACAGACAGGGGTCAGCTTCTCTGGGTAGGAGAGCTTTCCATTAAATATGAGGCTTCTCTCTCAAGGTCCCCAACTCCCTAGGACCCTCCACTGCCCCATTATCAGACTCAGGAATATACATCTGTCTCCAGATGACTTGTATCCTATATCCAATGACCTGTGAGTCAAGCCCACATTTCCATCTCCTGCAGGTGCATACGTCAAATTGTTACCCCAGGGAATGCAGGCCACCTGTCGCCAGCTCTAGGTCATTTGAGGCCCCATTGTGCAAGCTGGGGGGTTAGTCCTGGCTCAGTGCCTCACGCCTGGTTCCCATTGCCCTGGGGATATGATAAGGGGCTGAGAACAGCAGGTCAGGCTAGGTCCGGTCCAGGTGACAAAGATTAGGCTTTGTCCTTAGGGAACCCTTTGTTCTGAGCAGGCCAGATTCAATGTAGGTGGAGAGGTGGGTGAGGGGTGGCAGGCAGTTCCTGCTGTGTCCTATGGAAGGAGGAGGAGGGAAGGGGCTAACCTGGTTCCAGGGCTCTGCCCCCTCTGTGGTCTGGTTTGCCCTCCTCTTCCTTTCCTCGGCCCCTTCTACTCCCCTGGTTCTCACACCCACACATGCTCTCCATCCTCTCTCAGCTCCTTCCGAAGCAGCTCCTCATTCTTCTGGCAGTCCTAGAGTGTGAGGGCACGGGATGGAGGCTCCTGCCACAGGTGAGGGGATGAAGAGGTAAGGCCCGGATCCATGGCACCAAGTCACCTCTCTTTGCCTGGTTCCCTGTATCTTTGTCTGTCTCTGAGTCCGACAATCCCTTCCCTCTGCCTGTTCCCTTTCTCAAAGTCAGATGTGGCCTGTGCCATGTTTCTGTCTATCTTGGGGTCTGACGTGCCTATATTTTCATGCGTCTCTGCCTTCTTTGAGACTGATCTCTGCTTGTCCTTCTGCCTGTCTCATCTCTGCTTCCACATCTTTCTCCAAGGTCTTTGTTGACCTCTTTCTAATCTCCCTGTTCTCAGCTCTCTTGATTTTCCTTGCATCTGAAGGTGACCCAGGATTCTTTCCTTGGTCCAGGATCACCCCCATCAGCTCTTCTGGCTCCTCTGTCCAAGGCTCACCTTCCCTTCTCCTCTTCCATCCCCTCTTAGCACCCTCCTCTCCTGTGGCTCAGCTGATAGTCCTCTCTCACACCCGCTATTGTCTGCCATTCTCTCAGCATCCAGATCCTGCTGTCTTCTGCTTTAGGAACTTAGGTTCTTTGGGTGTCCCCTGTATCTCTCTTTTCAAGTGTGTCCCTCTCTTTTCCCTACTGATTTCCTCATTGATGTCCAAATCCTTCCTAGGAAAAGAAGTGGTCCTAGGGTGGAAGAATGGAGAAAGCTATGAGGAGAAAGGTGGGAGGGGCTGTGGACCTTTTCTCCTCACTTCCTGTGTCTTTCTCTTTGTTGGTTTCCCTGGTCCTCCTGTGCCCCAGTTTCTTGAGCTCGCTCCCTCTCTCTCTCCTCAGGTCTCTCTCTCCTCTTTCCTTTGCCCTTTCCTTCTCCCTTTCTTCCCTGTCTCTTCCCCTCCTGTAATCTAACACTGGCATCCCTCAGTCCTGGGATGGTACCTTGCCTTCACTCTGACTGTTGCATTCAGAGCTCAGGGTCAGAGTGTGGGGTGGAGTGGGAGCTTGGCTGGGAGTGGCTGTGTGCGGTAGGCTTGGGGAGATTCAGTTCAGGGGTGAACCAAGGCTTCAGGAGTTCCAATAGGAGGCCAACAGTCCCATTGCCTCTTGAGCCCCTGCCTTCTATGGTCCGCAGTCCCAGGCCTTGCTAAGCAGCACAGGTGTGGCAGTGACTCCAGGGTTCTGGGCTGGTTTTGCTTGAGTGGGGCTTGCTTTTTCCTCCCGGCCTTTCAGTGATTTGTCCCTTCCTCCTTTCCCCCCAGAGTCTGGTTCACACATGTCTCTTCCCAGTCCCTCATCTGCCTGCTTCCTCTAAAGATGGCCTGTCATAAATGGACCAAAGATTCCCCCACCTTCCAGCAAACCCAGATGAGGAGGGTCTTGTGAAAGGAAGTTATAGCAGGAAGAAACAAGGGAGAAGAAAGTAGCACCCTGGATGGAGGGGCCCGGATGGAAGGTGGGCTGAGGGTACAGTTCTGCTGGTGAAGTGGGGAGAGGGGCCTGGCCTTTGTGGGTGGTTGGAGACAGTGGTGGCTGTGTTGGGAAGGGTAGTGGGCTACAGCTGCAAGACCTTGTGCCCTCTCAGAGACCTGCTTTGACTGGGCTTGGGGCTCAGTACCATACCTGTCCAGTGGGTCATACCTCATAGGGTATCCTACACACTAACCCTCCGCCCCCAGCCCAGCCTTGGTGTTGTTGTTGATGGTGGTGGGGTAGCGTTGATCAGAGCTGGGACATATGTCCACAGCAGAGTGGCTCACATGCTCTAGGCAAGTCTTAAGAGTCTTCCTAAATCTCTTTAACTTTGAGTGTCTATGAGCCAGGGAGAGGGCTGGGAGGAGAGGTGTCAGCTTCTGAGGAGGAGGTGAAGGGGAGCACAGGCATTGTTGCACTGGGGGTGCTCAGAGCCTTACAGGCTCCCTGGGGGCACCTCCTTGGTCCAGCCTGTGAAGCTGCCCTTCCTCCCCTCACTTTTGTGTCCACCCCGGTATGCGTGTCCTTGTGGGTGGCAGGCAGTGAAGAAGAGTCCAGAGGTAGAATTTCACATTGAGGAAAATTGCTTTATTATGCTTCCTTCAAAAAGGCTGTTTTACAGGCTCTAGGACTGGGATTCTGTTGGCACCCTCAGGGCTGAGCAGATCAAGAAGCTGTGGCAAAGCTACTCTTCATTCAAGCCCTTTGAAAGGAAATAAAGTCCAACTTAGGTGGGTGTTGGGTAGGGATTGGCACAGAAAACAAAGGGGAGACAGGGCACTCAGTGGGGTGGAGAACTGCTGTGTGGCCTGACAGGGGCCCCATGATGGTGGGAGATATGTCCTAAGGATCGGGGTGGAGGGCATGTTCTGAGTGGTAGGGCTCTGGGGTCCGCCAGAGGGAGCTGTGTGGGTGAGGACAAGGGGTGCTTTGGCCTGTCCACTTTAAGTTTGCATTGCAAGGTTGTAGGTCAAAACAAGGTGAAAGAGAAGTGGAGCCTAGCAGCTGGGAGAAACTGGAGCATACTGGGTATACTGATGAAGTAGGGTTTTCTCGGGTTGCTGACCACCCTGAGGCTGGGATTTGCAAAATGATTGCAAGTGAGAGCTGGAAGAATCTTAGAAATCACAGAGGACTGAATCACCTTGCCCTCCAGGGCCTTGGAGTTCAGTTGGGGCAGATGAATAAAGAGAAGGCATCCTTGTGTTGGGGGCTGAGTCTGGGCATTGATGGGGGCCATTGACAGATATTGCCTGGGGGTAGGGAACCCACCTTGGTGCCGATGTCACGGCTCTTGGCCCGCAGCTTGTTGACCTGGGACTCAGCGATGTCTGCCCGCTCCTCCGCCTCATCCAACTCGTGCTGCACCTTGCGGAACTTGGACAGGTTGGTGTTGGCCTGCTCCTCCTGTGGGGGTTCAGGGGGGAGAATTAGGTGAGAGGGGGCCTGGGGTTCTCAGCCTCCCAGCCTGAGCACTGGCTCCGGTGTCCTTCCTCCAGGCTCAGTCCCCAGAAAGGTCACTCACCGCCTCCTCAGCCTGGCGCTTGTAGGCCTTGACCTTCAGCTGCAGCTTGTCCACCAGGTCCTGCAGCCGCAGCAGATTCTTTCTGTCCTCTTCCGTCTGGGGGTCAGGGATGGTCAGGAGTGAGGACAGCACAGTCATAGGAGGCATGCCCCATTCCCCCACTGGACATTTTTACTCTACTTTCTGATCCTCACCAAACACTTGTGTTATCCTTATAACTTTTCATCTGGCCCAAAAAAGTATAAATATTTTTTTGCTGGTATGTTTCAAGAAAGGGTTAGGGAGCTGATAGGACTCTAGAAATCATGAGGAAAATTGTGTGTGTGTGTGCTGTTTTGGGGAGCGGGCCTTTGGAGGTTCTGGGACCCCCCAGAGGGCAAACTTCACAGTTCTAGAGCCCAGCAGGGGCTTGCAGTGACTCTGGGACTGAAGGTGCGATGGGATCTCCTGGTCTGCAGGGAAATGACATAGACTTGATCAAGATTAAGGACAAACGTGCGTAGAGGGATGGTGACTTTCTGGATTGGACAGAAACAAAATCTAAGTGAGGATCTATTCTAGAAAACACCATGGAATCTAAAGTCTATATCTCCTTGTGTAACTGAAAAGTTTTGTGATTTGTTTGAATGGCTTTGGCATGTTTTTGATGGATTTTGGTGGTGATGGTGTCAGGCCAAAGCTTGGCCACATACTTGCTTTCTGGTAACACTGTGCAGGCTGAGCTCCGCCTGGAGTGTTGTGTGTGTCCCCAGCAGACAGGCTGAGGGTGAATGATGAGGTAAAGCTCTCAGACAGTAATCCCAGGGACTGACCTCTATGCCAGAGAACACTGAATATAGGACAGGGTCGGTGATGTGAAAATGGGCTTCCAGGGGTTACACTTCCATCCTTTGCCCTGGAGGAGGGTCACAGAGAACACTTCATTTCTTTTGGATGGTTGTCACCCTGGCTTCAGGCCATAATGCAGAGGACCTGCCCCAGAGCAGCCGCACCTGGTAGGTGAGCTCCTTGATGCGCCGCTCACTCTTCCTCATGCCTTTGATCGATTCTGCATTGCGCTTCTGCTCGGCCTCCAGCTCGTTCTCCAGCTCCCGCACACGGGCCTCCAGCTTCTGCAGCTGCTTCTTGCCACCCTTGAGGGCAATCTGCTCAGCTTCATCCAGCCGGTGCTGCAGGTCCTTGATGGTCTGCTCCATGTTCTTCTTCATGCGCTCCAGGTGGGCGCTGGTGTCCTGCTCCTTCTTCAGCTCCTCCGCCATCATGGCGGCCTGTGGACAGGAGAGAAGTGAGACGTGGTGTGGCCGAGTCCTCTCACACTCATGGCCCAGCAAGGAAACGCTGGTCTGGAGCAGGCGGGCAGGGTGGTGGCACTTACATCTGTGATGGCTTTCTTGGCCTTCTCCTCGGCGTTCCTGCACTCCTGCACCGCCTCCTCCACTTCAGTCTGAAGCTGCGACAGGTCTGCTTCCATCTTCTTCTTCTGGTTGAGGAGGCTGGTGTTCTGAGGGTAGGAGTGGGTAGAGCATGAAAAGCACTGCACATCCATGACTAGCTTCCAAACCTCACATGCTGGGTCCTGCAGCTTGTGCTTGCCTCCAGGAATGACCAGGAGAACCGCTCACCTGGGAGTGGAGCAGCTGCACCCGCTCACTGGTCTCAATCAGCTCCTGCTCAGCCAGCTTCCGAGACCTCTCTGTCTGCTCCACCACAGACCGCAGCTCCTCCAGCTCAGCCTGCAGCAGGTTGTTGCGCCTCTCCACAATGGCAATGTTCTCCTTCAGGTCATCGTTGGCCCGCACTGCGTCGTCCAGCTGGATCTGAGTGTCCTGTGAATTAGGAGATTGGTCATGAGAGAGGCAGCTGGCCTTTGGGCCCATCAGAAAGTTGTTACACCAAACTGGGTGCTGATGGGGAACCCACTGTGGTTGCTTAGGAGGAGCCTGTGGGTTGTCTCTGCAATGGCCCTGGGGCAGGAGGGATCTGGAGCTGTGATGGGACACCACCACCCAACTTGGCCATGTGGAGGCCATCTGCCCTCTGGAGAGCTGACTTCCTACTCCCAAGAGT